AGTTACCAATTCACATGGGCAAACAATAGGAGAGCTGAGGAGTGGGTGGAGGCTAAGTTGGATAGGGCTTTTGGGTCCTACGACTGGCTTATATCATATCCAAAAGCTTACTCAAAGGCAGAAGAGAAGAGTGCATCTGACCACTCACTTCTAATTGTGGATACAGGCTGTGATGTGAGAAGTAGGGGAAAAAGGTTCCAGTTTGACAAACGTTGGCTTAAGAGAGATGGAATCAAAGAAGTGGTGGAGAAAGTGTGGCAAGAAAGACTGACGGGAACTCCTATGTTATAGTCAAGGAGAAGATTAAAAAAACCAGGGTGGCCTTGCTTAGGTGGAGCTCTAAATTCAGAACGCAGACTTAAGAGAAAATTGGGGAGCTCAATAAGAAGCTGGAAGAGATAAAGTTGCAATCGAATATGGATCAATGGGAGGCCAGAGAGAATCTGAGGAAGGAGTTGAATGAGGCACACAAACTGGAGGAGGCTTTCTGGCAACACAAATCGAGGAATCTATGGCTTAGGGAGGGAGATAGAAATACGAGGTTCTTCCACGCAATCACAGCTCAACGCCGGAGAGCCAATGCAATTACAAGACTGGTCGACGCCGATAACCAGGTTTTCCAAACTTCGAGGGCGATTCTGTCACATGTGGCTGATTATTACAACAACTTTTTTAGCTCAGAAGGCACATTAAGAGCAGATAGCATCATCCAACTCATTCCGACATCAATTACCAGTGATCTGAACAGAGACCTGGAGAATGTGGTTGAGGAAGAAGAAAGTAAAGCGGCCATTTTCTCGATGAATCCTGAAAAAGCACCAGGGGAAGACGGTATGTCGGCCTTTTTCTATCAAAAATTCTAGGAGTTAATCAAAGGCGACTTGATAAATGCAGTTCAAAGTTTCTTTATCTCTGGGAATATGCTACAGTATTGGAATCAAACGGTGGTAACTCTGATCCCCAAAATTGAATCTCCAGAGATGCTTTGCCATTATCGTCCTATAAGCCTGTGTAGCGTGTTTTATAAAATCCTATCTAAAATACTTGCTACGAGGCTGAAATCCTGTTTGAGTGGAAGTATCAATGAATGTCAAGCTGCATTTGTTCAAGGGCGCCAGATTATGGACAATGTGATTATTGCGAACAAAACTTTCCACTTCCTTAATAGACACAGCTCGGGGAAGAATTTTTTTATGGCGCTCAAATTAGATATGATGAAGGCGTACGATCGAGTGGAATGGCAATGCATTCAACGGATTATGCTCAAGATGGGATTCAACTTCAAATTTGTAAACATTATGGCCTGCATAAGCTCTTCATCTTTCTCATTTAACATAAATGGCTCAGTACAGGGTCGAGTTAAACCATCGAGAGGATTGTTCCTAGGAGATCCGCTGTCCCCTTTTTTGTTCTTATTAGCGTCTGAGGTGTTCTCTATTTTAATATCAGAAGCAGTGGCACAGAATCACTACTCAGGGCTGAGGATAAATAAAGAGGGACCATCTATATCTCATATTTTGTTTGCGGACGATTCTCTGTTATTTGGGAAAGCAGCTCCTGACCAAGCTTTCAAAATTGCTGAAATCCTTGAGAGATACAAATTATTTATAGGGCAAAAGGTGAACCTAGCAAAATCTACCATATTCTTTAGCAGAAATACACCGGAGAACTTACAACTGGAGATTTGTGGGATCTTTTAGGGGATCATCAGACATTCCTCCACCAGATATTTGGGTCTGCCATTGGGTATTGGGAGATCAAAGGTTGAAACTTTCAACTTTATCATTGACAGAGTGAAAGCTCGACTGATGAGTTGGAAAAACAGGTGGTTGTCTGTAGCTGGTAATGAAGTGCTGATTAAAGCAGTCATAAACTCACTCCCAGTGTATGATATGGCTTGTTTTAAGCTTCCTGTCACCATTTGCAAAGCCATCTCCAGACTTTGTGTTGACTTCTGGTGGGGAAATGGAGAAGAGGATCAAGGCAAAATACATTGGAAGAAATGGGATTTTCTGTCTAGGCCAAAATGAAAGGGGGGCCTAGGTTTTCAGGACATTCAATTATTCAATGAGGCATTGATATGCAAGCAACTTTGGAGAGTTACTACTCAACCAGACCTGTTAGTAAGCAAGGTTTTAAAAAGCAAATAATTTCCATACTCAGCTCTGGTGGATGCTGGAAGGAAGAACAACTCATCTTGGTTGTGGAGGAGCTGGCAATCAGTAATACCTTTCTTCTCTGAAGGGATCCAAGTGGAAATTAGAAGTGGGAAGCAGACGAGAATTGATGATATAAATTGGATTCCTACCTTAGCAAAATAAAAACCAGATCTCCTTGAGATAGCCAGAGGACATCTGATATGGGTCAGTGACCTAATGAATACTGATAGCACAAGTTGGAATGAATGGTTGATCAACCAGGTGTTTGGGGTGATAGATAGTGCAGCTATTTTGAAGATCAGATCACTTAACCCAATCCTGGAGGACAAGTGGAGATGGAAGCTAAGTCAGAAGGGTACCTTTTCAGTTGCTACTTCGTATGCTCACCTTATGGAGAAGAAAATCAAGGAGTTGGATATCCCTGAAGACAGCACCAGAGGTATGCAAGGTCAAAAAGCTAGGAACAAGTTATGGAAGCTGAAAATTAAAGGGAAACTGAAGCATTTTATATGAAAGTGTTGTAATGGTACTTTACCTGTTAAGCTGAATTTGAAGAAGAGAGGGATGATGGTGGACTGCATTTGCTAGTCATGTGGAGAAGGATCAGAGACTATAGAACATATATGCTTTCAGTGCCCTAGAGCAGCAAGAATATGGAAATTAAGTCCAGTTAAATGGGAGGGGATCAACACTGATACTTGCACTTTTAGAGAATGGTGGAATTACATTTGTGAAACAGACAAGAGGGCAATAAATGAAAAAAGAATACAACTATCCACATACCTACTATGGTGGTTGTGGAAAACTCGTAATATGTGGCTATTCCAACAAGAAATGATCCCTGAGCATCTGGTGATTAAGAAGGCAGTTGGGGACTGGTCAGAGTTCCTAAGGGAGAACATATAGAGTAGTGTGTCTTTTTTGCAGTTTGGTTTTTTTGGTTTGTAGTGTTGCTGTTTGGTCTTGTGGTTTTCCTTGTGTTTCTGTCGGCTGACCTGTTGTTCGAGTGAGCTGGTTTTTAGTTTCTGTTGGTTTTTCTCTTTTTGCTTGAGTGTTGGTTGTTATGGGCAGAGTTAGCTAGGTCTTTTGGACAGTAGTTGTGTTTTGAGTTTCTGCAGGTTGTCTTCTTGTAAGCTAAGGGCTGTGATTGCCTATGCCTTAGCTTAGGTTTGTGTCTTGAATCTTTAGGCCGTCTGCGTGCGTGTCCTCTCATTTTTATTTCTAATAGGTGTGTCGAGGGTTTCTCGTTTGTATTCGAACTTGGTTCGCCTTTAGTTTTATATAATTCTCCTATTGTTTCGGAAAAAAAAACTATGAGCTGATATTTAAACAAAATGAGAGATATCATTGCCTCCCTACCCACGAGGAGCACAATTTTGTATTGATAACGTAAAACTGAGATTCATTATATGGCGCAATTCAAAAATGATGAGATCTTGGCATATTACATATGATATTACTCAAATGTTTGTTGTGGGTAGATGAATATTTTTGTATTCATAATAACACATTTTAAGTCATTTGAATGAAAATAATACTGAAAAGAATAGGGGTGAGCAAAACCGAGTCAAAACCGAAAACTGAACCGAAACCGAGCAATTCGGTGCGGTTCGGTTCAGTTCGGTTATGTAAAAAAATTCAGTTCGTTTCGGTTCTTTTTTTTATACATTGCAGTGCAGTGCGGTTATTGTTCTCTATAAGTTCGGTTTTCTGTTTTATTCGGTTAAGTGCGGTTTTGCACCAAACCGCACCAAATTAAATAAAATGTATAGAAAAGCCTAGAAAAAAACCGAAGACCGAACCGAACCATGCATTTCGGTGCGGTTCGGTTTGGTTATTTTAGTGCAAAAAAAATTCAGTTCGATTTCGGTTCGGTTTTTTCTAAGTTGCAGTACGGTTCGGTTATTTTTTTTGCTATGTTCGATTATCGTTTTTTTGTGGTTCGGTGCGGTTTTTCACCGAACTGCACCGTTGCTCACCCTTATAAAAGAATACAATTAGTTGACAAAATATTAAAGATATATATTGCATGTTACTTTTATATAATATTCATTTTTATGTCTTATTTATGCCTTTTGCATTTACAATTAACATACAATTAGCATATGTTTATGACGACACAACTCCTAAATATGGCATAAATACAATACATTGCTCTTGCAATTTTGCCCTTTGTGAAAAAAGGACAACAGAGATTAATTATCGGGGAATCATAGAATTTTTAGAGGACATGCATGAAATTCGTTACAATCCAAATTTACTATGTTTTGATTGTCTGATCCTAATAATACGGATGGTTCAATACTATATAAACTCGTCCCTACACCTCTTTCAAATCACTCCACCGCTCTCGTTTTTCTTTTTCTGGTATGTAACCTGTTTCGTTTTTCAGGTTACACACTGGAAAAAAAGAACAATAAATAAACTTGTGCACATAGTAGACCATCCCACCTTCTTGTAAAAAAAAAGAAGACATCGAGTTCCGATTTTTCCTGTTCGCCGAATTTTGAACAAATCGAGCTATAGCTTTTCTTCTCTCGCCACATTTCGTGTATATATTCAACAAATATATCACTAGATTGTGTATATTCACGACCGAGACACGAGCCATGACGGACGAGAAAGGTTCGGATTCGGGTTCGGCGGGTTCAACTCTGCACATTGTCCTCATTGC